TCAACGGGTACTTCCATCTTGAAGCTTCGAGTCGGGGGTGCGTGGCTGTTGTTTTCAATTCCTTGCAACGAAGAATGCGCGTGGTTCTTGTGAATTACTTCATTCTTCCCTTCATTCTTTGCGGCATCGTCATTCGCTCTTTCTTCATTCTTTGCCTTCCTCCGAAATCACGCCCCGCGAGTGTCCCTCGTGCCCCTGGCTGTACAGCTCTCAAGCGCAGAGCATCTGCGCTTTCGCAAGACCGACGAAGAACAACTCGCAATGAGGCAAACTGAAGCACGCAAGGGTTGATGAGCGAGCTGAGGACCCTCAAGGTGATGTTAGAACAGGAAACTGCAACGGCCAAAAGGAAATGTGAGGCCTTGATACACAGCACACTGTGACACGCAAAGACTGAAAGACAGAAGTGTTCATTGGGCCAAATGTCAACAAAGCCAGCGAGCTATGCTCGTGGGATGTCGATGTTGTGCTTCTTGACGAACTCAAGAAGGTCGTGGAGCAGCAAGGCGTGGTCGAAGGCCATCTTGTCGGTTTGGCCCTTGAGCTCCTCCACATCGTAGAAGTCGGCGTGAGCTGCATCATCACCCGCCTGGCGCCGCACCCAACACGAAAGCCCCGTCAGCTCCAACAGCCTGCACCCTCACCACACCCTTGGCCGCAACGTACCTTCATGGTCGAGAAATCCTTGACAGTGACGTAGTAGAAGGTGCTCACCGTGTGTCCACGCAGATGTTGACACGAGTTAAGGAGACCACAACGACATGCGGCGTGCGACACGACACACGACACACACACACACACACACGCACGCACACGCACACGACACACACGCACACGACACACAACGCGGGGAAGAGGTGAGAGGATATCACGAGCGGGGTCGCCGTAAACGCCGACGAGCTGCGGGTCGGTGCCGACGAGGGACGTTTCCTCTTGCAGTTCGCGGAGGGCGGCGTGCTTGGGCTCCTCCCCGTACTCCACGAACCCGCCCGGGAAGGCGAGGCAGCCGTGGAAGGTGCGGCCGCCTCGCTTGATCATCAGCAGCTCGCGCTTGCCCTCTCGCTCGCGCATGACCGCAATGTCGGCCGCCAGCGATGGCGACTTGCGCTGCTTGGTAGTGCTACTCATCGGTCTTGCGTTGAAAGGGCGGTGACGAAGGTGGTGGACTGGAGGCGAAGGTTGTGGTGGGAGGTGCGGCAGGGAAGCGAGGGGGCGTAGGCTCGGGTGCGGGTGTTGCTGGCAAGGGCACG